CCCCCCCCCCTCTCTCTCTCTCTCTCTCTCTCTCTTCACCAAGCTCAAAGAAAAAGAAAAAAAGAGAGAAAAGTTACTAATTACTCTGAGCACTGAATGGGACACTTATGAGTAATATGATTGGAGGCCAGCAGTTCATCCCCTAGTCGGGTAATGCTAATTCTTTTTTGGCCTTGTGATATCTCTCAGTAACTTACACAATCCCATATCTTCTGGTTGCAGGGATGCTAATATGCTTTCCTATCAGTCATGCTTGAAACTCTGATTTCCTGTTAATGCTTAGCATCAGGAAATTGGATTGTTTAACTACATCTAATTTGTTTGCTGAAACTGCTTACGTACTTTGTTAATTTCTCTCTTCACCTGTAATAGTCAAAATGTCATGCCTAAACAGAGTAACAACAACAACAACAACAACCCAGTATATAATCCCACTAGTGCTTTCACAATATCATTTTAGCATGTTGTGTCTTGTCCCGATCCTACTTGATATTTTGAATGCTTTGGTATCATCTGGAGATTTTCATAATCAAATCTGTTTGAGAAGCCAATCCTCTGTAATTACAGAGGCGCGGGAATTAAGTGACTGTCATTCAGTTCCTATCTCTAGAATCTGGATGCATGCTATGATTACCTCTTAATTCTACAAAATATCGTTGTTTGATTCCTTATTCTGCCTTTCTACCTTCACAAGGTAGGGATAAGGTCTATGTACACATTACCCTTCTCAGACCCCTCTTGTCGGATTACACTGAGTTTGTTGTTGATTATTCCTTATTCTACACGGTAAGATATGAATGACGAGAGTCAGTTTTATAAGGAAGAGAAACAAAACAAAGTATGATAGTAAAAAAGGTTATAGTGTGCAATTCTCTGTGTCTGCCTCATAGAATGCTATTATTGACACCAAGCAGAAGAAATTACCTGTTTAGACTACTCTGTAGTGCTCTATGATTCTACTTATTTCAAAGTTTCTTCTTATCTTTTTTTCCATTCTACAACTATGTGATTATGTATGTGATGCTGTTAGTTGTCTATATCATCGGACATGCTATTTTTTTGTCATGGTGTTGAACAACAGATCAGTAACAACCTCTCTACCTTCTCATAACAGGGGTAAGGCTGCGTACACCCTATATTCATTTGCATCGCATGACTACTCCCCGTGGTAAATCGAAAGGCATATAATTGCCTGATATTGACTTTTTCGGAGAACATAGTCCGTGAAAATTAAAATATAAACGTAATTCTGGTTGTCAAGGTGTTTGTTGCAGCATAGAGAATATGATATAGAAGTTGATTTGATCCATATAATTTGTTTGATTGATTGGAAGTTTGGAACTGCTTTAAGCTTGTTTTTATTTACTGCCTAAACAAAACAAACTGTGCAAAATTGCTTCTCCTTGTCCAAGGAAACTGGAAATGATTAAGTTTGTACCAAAAGGGCAAGAGAAATACGCCGTCCCAAAATGTGAAATTCCATTAAACTAGTTTAAAAAATATTAAAGTGACTTGTTTTAAAAGTCGCAGTTGTGGGCATAGAAGGGGGCAGGGGTGTATCTAGGGGAAGGTCCACGGGGCACATTCAAGCTCAAAGTATCATATATCATGCGATGATTATCGGATACACCTCTGCATGTGAAGTTGCGAGTTCAAATCTTATATCAATCTTTTTTTTTCTTTTTCTTATAGAACTAGGCGCCTACGGGAGATGGTCATGTCTGGTGTCAATTTTGTGTATTAATCAAGTACTACTTTTTTCTTTCTTCGTTTGGTTTATTTTTTAAAAAATTCACACCCACTGAAACTCCTATTTTTCTTTTGTCATCTTAAAATCTTATATGATTAAACGAAATATGTATATTAAAATTAGTTGTAATGGATGATGTAGCATATAATAAGTGAGTCCAATTAATTCCAATATTTTCCACACGGAGTACAAATCTAGATGATAGTAAATCACTACTTTAAAAAAAAGAAAGGAAACTTATAATTTAAGGAGTGTAATAGGTGCAATAGTAAGAACTAAAAGTTGAACTTGTAAAATTAATATTCTGAATTCGCCTTTTGTAATATGCACCCATCTTCCTATATCGTGGATCCGCCTTTGGGAGGGGCCAACAAACTTATTAATATGACAAGCTATTATTGCTTGGTAGCATATTTTGAAGTGATTACTATATCAAGTTTAACTTTTATATACCGCAGAAAAGACTTAGATGAATAATACTGGGCACCAAATCCGCTAGACAAAGAATCTATCACAGGAAATAAATAAAAAACCATTGTCATAGTCAATTAATTAAGGTTGTCACTCTTCAAATTTGGGAAAGTACCACTGTTTTCTTAAATCTGTTATGCCTAACTAATGTGAGACTTCCTAAAGAATCCTCGTGCCCTTTTGGAATGATCCAAATTCGACTGAGCATCCAAATTGGGGTAAATACCATAAAAACTTTCTTCCAAAAAGGTTCTAGAATCATGCCAAATGTGCTGAAGTTCACCTTCAACTCCATCTTTATCAGCTATGGTAGTGAACAAATACAAGTTGAAAAGTAACATAAAATGTTCTAGCATTATTGCTTGTTTTTAATGAATGTTGTTAGAACACACAAAGGTGCAGATGATAAGGCCTTTTAGATGTGTTTTTGAACAAGAAGATCCACAGGGCAAAGTTGGTATAACCTTTCCAAAGACCTTATGGTAATGTAATATATTATTTCATAGGTCAAGTACACCCATACTCCACTTGTGAAAATACACCGAGTATGTTGTTGTATAGGTCAAGTACGTGAAAATATTTTTTCATTTTTGGTGACAGTAGGATTTGATATTTTATTATTTAGTTATATTATGTCGCAACAGATAATAGCAGGGGAAGCTTTGAAATCAAACATTACAATAATTGGTCCTTTACTTCTCCCAGCATCAGAGCAGCTGCTTTTTCTCCTCACACATTAGCAGGAAAATTTTCAACTCCGAAGGGAAATTTTGACATTCCTGATTTCAAGCAAGCTTTCGGACACTTCTGTATCCATGCGGGTGGTTGAGGCTTCAAGAATGACAGACACTGCACCGAGTCAATAATATTAAATCTCGTGACTATCCCATCAAAAAGTTTAAATTATTAGAGAAATTACACTTTTCACTACTTAATTATATTTACTGTCCTTTTTATTTTGTATGATAATATTTGACTGAATATAGAATATAAAAAAGAAAGGCTTTTGACAAATTCTAAAAGTTACCTTTCGAACTTGTGGTGTTAAACATGACATGATATTCTTATAGTTATAAGAACATGTCATTAAATGTAAAATAATAACTTTAAAGTCAAAGAATTTTCAAAATAGAAAGGTTTTGTTCTTTTAATTTGGAACAAACTAAAAACAAAAGAGTATCATATAGAATGAAATACAGTATGTGAATATGTCTCAACACACCTTCGTGGGCTAAACATGTGAAAATATTGTCTTTTGGGTGGCAATAATATTTGGGACAAGTGCACATATTTTCATTCTCAGGGATGCTATTTAGAGATTAGCCAGTATTTATTTTTTATCTCGAAACTTTAAACTAAAACTCTTAACTTCAGGACAATGCAGGATATTTTTGTCCTATAAATTTGAACTGAAAAACTGAAATTCAAGACGCACTGGCTAATTCCTAAGTAGCAGCCATTTAAAGTGGCTACCTGGTTGTAATAGCCCAGCCCGCTAATGATATTGTCCGCTCTGGGGCTAGGCCCTCACGGGTTTAAAACGCGTCACTAGGGTCTAAGGCATGTCTACTTATATACCCAGCATCTCTCCCGTGTTTTGTCGATGTGGGATTTGCCTAGGGTGCCACACTGGTGTCATTTCTACGTAGATTTGAGTGACCTCTGATATTATATTAAATTAATCCAGTAACTATCTTATCTAAAATTTTAAAATATAAAAGACATCAAACTTTTTATTACCTAAAAATATTATATCTCAACAGGTAACAGACCAGTAGGTTACTTTTGAATCAAAGTAGCGACGAAAGTGGGAAATAGTTCCCTGGTTGCACCCCACAATGGGTTCTAATTTATTAAATCACATATTTTTGTTTGTATACGGTCGAAATAGATTTCGACTTTCGTACGATTGATCGAGGTCGAAACATAATGGATCGAAGAAAGATTTCGTAATATCGAGATGGGTTCCGAAGATGGTACAAACAAGCTTCAAATTTCGGGTATAGGTCAAACTCCGAGTTCGAAGTCATTATCGAGCTCGTGTCTGAATCGAACTATGATGAGATGATTTCGAACTTAAGGGGCAGAGGCCAACCGGGTCCGAGTCCGAATCATCACCTGATCCCGAGTCCATATCGAGCTCTAGAAGCAATACCGACCAACACCGAGGCCGATCGAGCTCTAGCTCACAGACAAGAGCCGTTGCAAACACACTAAGGGAGAGAATCTCGGCGGAAATTAGGGAAAAACTGATTTATCATGGGTTCTCCACTATGTATTTTTAATTATATCTAAAGTAGGATCCTCTACTATAAAGAGGATGTCTACATTTCTGTAGAGGGCATTTTTTGCTTACATTGTAATTCAAGCACAATATTCTCCTATATTCAAGGATTATTCTTTTAATCTTCATTAATTGATTCATTGTGCTTAGTTCTAAAAATCATCTTCTTTCCAACCTTATTTATTTTGCATACTTTGCAATCCATATTTGATATTTCTATTTATCCCTACGATTTGTATCAAGCTATACCACATATCCTTAGAACTACGTACAAATTCAACTCTATCCGTTTTTCGGGTAAACATTATTTTCCAACAGCCAACTCCGGCGTGTCAGCTTAGTTATCCCTTCTTCATCTTCACTGTGGTATGAACTGAGTTACATTGAGGCTAAAGGAAGAATGAAGAGAGGTGACAGAATTTGGCAGATTGCTTTTGGAAGTGGATTCAAGTGTAACAATGCTTTTTCAGTTCACTTGAATTACATCTCCATTGGTTATTGAAAACGAATAAGAGTATATCTTAACCTACCGTTCATCATTCCTTTTAATTTCCAAAAGTTATTGCACACTAACATATGTGAGCATTCTCTCATCTTTATTTATTGTTAAATCATAAGCTAACTAAATTAAACAATTCAATGCTGCCTCGCATTTGTGAACGTGGTCAGACATAATTCATGCATCGGCTTTTTCTCCTATTTCTACACCATCAGTGGAGACTGCTGCTCCTTCTCCACGGGGTGGTGTTACATTAGCTCCATAGGAACTTCTCCACAATCAGGGGCTTCTTTACAGGGTGAGGTTAATTCAATCAAGGGAGGGGAAGGGTGCTAAACGAGGCGTGAGTGGCATAACAAATGGGTAATAAAGGCGGCTCAATAATATTAGTGTTCTAAAGTTAAATTTTAATAAGAGACCTTAAATTATATACATATACATATCCAAAAACTTATATCGCCTTTCTTTTTTTCTTTCGTACTTTATATTTATAGTGTAATATTCTTATGAGACATAAAGCATGTAAGTTTGCAACAAATATCTCATAGTAATATTAGTATTTATTAATTCAAGTTAATAAGATGTTTAGTCATGTGTTATACATTGCCTTGGATCTTGTTATAAAAGAATTTATTTTCTAATATGAAGATTGAATAGTTTAACTGAAAGTTATAAAATATTTCTACTATTAAAAAGTAAGCAATCTTTCTTTCTTTCTTTCTTTATTCTTTTATAAAGTTTTGTAATTTTTTTTACTAAAGCAAAAAAATATCATAAAATTCAGTAAGGGTCCCAAAACAAATTCTTAAAATTTTTGGAGCCCCAAAATTGTAGGGGCCTAAAGCAAATGCTTTACTAATATAAATAGTTATTCACACCGAGTATTTACACCTAACTAAATAATTAACCTTAATAATTAACAAATTAAAATAAAAAATGCATATCACTTAACCATGGTTGTGTGCTAAAATGGGTATATGCAAAACAATGTCTTAATTTCATTGACTTGGTATAAATACTCGATGCAGATAAATTTTTACACTTTACGAGCCTCCCTCTTGAGCCCCTCTTAGTGGCCAAAAAAAAAAATGAATCTGATAGTTTTAGCTAAGTAGCCCGCCGCATTGCCATCCCTAATTTTAGAGAAATTAAGAATCTTAGTTCATATTTTTTTCCATCAGTTTAAACCTTTATAGACAGAATTACTAGTTTGTGCGGGTAGAGATATCAAATACATAATAGAATCGTTGAGGAAATGTGGACAAATTGACTTAAAACACAATCGTTATAAGAAGAAATTAACCTTTGCTTCCTACTTGGGTTCCCATGCATACACTAGTCTAGCTAGAGTTGATAGAGACCACATAGCTATTATAGTTGTTTATTGCTGCTAATCGTTAATGTTTGAAACAATTTGTCTTTATTCTTATCTTGTTATAGATGAAGGATGCGTGGAACTGTGGAAGAGACCACTCTTAAGAGTATTCAATTTTGACCAACTTGTTATTGATGAAATAATTATACCCTCAATAGAGAAAGATTGACCTCCAAACCGAGGCGGATCACGTGTGAGAGTTACGGGTTCAATTGAACCCATAATTTTTGACGCGGAGTCAAAATTCATGTGTAAAAATTTATTAAAATTACAAAAATAATAAATTTGAACCGATAACTTTAAATATATAATGGATTCAATGTTAAAAATTGAACCCATAGAATTTAAATCCTGGATCCGTCTCTGCTCCAAATCTCGTCCCCAACACTTCATAAAACTAGTTTTATAAGGAGAGAGGTGATATCCAAATTTTTAGATTGAGCATATTATCCTTTTGGTCGTTTGTTTGATTGTTTTGGCTTAATTAACCCAAGTGAAAAAACCCGCATTAAAAGAAAATAATTGTCACATGACTAATGTTGTGTATGATTGGCTGCATATGAAAAAATAATCACAAGCATTAACGTTTGATTGGCAATAGTAAATATTACTCGCATAATTAAGTTATTTTGATTAGTTTATAGTAAAATATGAAATAAGAATACGTGTATCAACAAAATGAAAATTGAACTATTTAAAGACATTTTGTCTTTAAAGTTAAGAAATTCTTGTATAATAAACTCTTTATTATCAATCAATGATTGCATAAGATTTCGTCATTATTAATCACCACACAATCAATTCCTACATTACGATTACACTTTTTTTTTGTAGTTAAATACACATAACTAGTATGTAAACTAGTGATGACAAACTGATGGGTCGGGTCGGATATGAGCGGGTCAAAATGGGTAAATACAAAACGAATAAAATATCAGACTCGACTCATTTTTAATGCAGATAAAAAATGGGTTAACATGCGAACAATATGAATATTCATATTATCCATGACTTTTTGAAATAAGATCAATTTTGGAAGGGTTCCTAGTCTCTCATATTTGAGAAAGGAATTTTTACCTACATATACTATAATAGAAATTTATTTACCACAAATTAACAAAACCAACGTGGTGTTCACCACTCCAAGGATGTAATTTTCCTCAAAGATAAGGCTTATTAATTTATAATTTTAATTTGATTTCCTTCATGAGCTTGAAAAATTATGCTTATTATCCATGTCCATCACGTGCTAATTCTAAGCAACTAGTGATGCAGGACTTGCAGGTATATTGTGATTTGAAATACAAATTTGAAGGCTAAGAAGACAATGGATATTGAATCAACTTGCTATGTTACGTTCTCTGTATACGTATTAGCATATAACAACTATTTTTTTTATATACTTGTTTTCATCATGTTGTTTGCAAAACCATAAAAAAGATGAAAGTTCAAGATCCCTTAAATTTAGCCTATCAGTTACATGACACCCACCCCCATTTGTAATAATCCCTACATTTAAGATTATGTTCCTTTTCCAAAGGATTTCAAAAATATTTTCTCTCTTAATAATCACCCAAAATCTCTCTTAATTTTTATACCCGCTGTTATCCCCCCAAAGTGTCGATTCATTTTCGTTTCCAAAGCTTTTCAAACTCAATTTTCCTCTTTCTTACCAAATCACCCAAAATCTATCTTTCTTATTGATACAATGCAGACGAAATTCGAAATATTGCTCTAGAATCAAGTTGTAGGTAACTTTTGAATCTTGTTTTCTTTCTTTCTAAAATCTTTATTATACGTGACTTGTATATGATACATCAATATCCAAAACAATACTTGACACAATACTAATATAATTATAATACGATTATATTAGCTTTTTAGTGTAGAGTTGCGATTGAAACTTGAAGAAGATGAAGATCATAATTGTATCACAAATTTTCAAAAATGTATCGCGATTGTATTATAATTGTATATGTATCATAATTGTTGAAGGAATTGTATTAAAAATGTATGATAATTGTATATTCATTGTACATTGTTACGAGCAATTGTGAGTTCGTGACGAATTTCACAGTTTGTATCACAAATATATGATAATTATATATTAATTTATTAGTATTGTATCGGGTATTATTTTGGGTATTAATGTACTATATACAAGTTAGATACAATTGTGATACAAGTATGATACAGTTACGTTTTAGGCATTGATGTGTCTGATACAATTCAAATACAATTATGATACAATTATCATACAAATCCTGAATATTTCTTCATTTTCAGTGTTGTTCAGTCTCCCAGCAAAAGAACGATTGATGATTTTTTAATAATATATAGTTGTCGGCTATGGTGGAAAGAGAGAAGATGGAGATTCTGGGCGTAGATTAAGTGGGCGTTTGGACATAAGAATTGTAAAATTCCGAAAAAAGTGAATTTTTTTTTCAAGTGAAAATGGTATTTGAAAATTAGAGTTGTGTTTGGACATGAATATAATTTTGGGTTGTTATTTAAAATTTTGTGAGTGATCTGAGTGAAAATTTTGAAAAAATAACTTTTTGGAGTTTTTAAAATTTTCGAAAAATTCCAAAATCCATCTTCTAAGTAAAATTTGAAAATTTATGGCCAAACATTGATTTCGGAAAAAATTAAAAATTTTTTTGAAAAAATGTGAATTTTTTTTTATGTCGAAACGGGCTCTAAGGGATTTTGATGTAAAAAAAAAAAAGAGAGAGGAGGAGAGGGAAAAAAAGAAAATGATATAATTGAATCCCTTAATTGAAGGCACTAATAATGGGATGAGAGCCTTTTAAAGAGCAATCTACATAATTTGTAAGAAAACCTAAGATACTTATTAAAAACTACAAAACACAGAGAACATAGGTAAATAAGTTTCTAATATAGTATAATTAGATAAAAAAAAACCCGAAAAGAATTCCACCTATTTGAGTCTTTACAAAAATAAAAATTAAACATATTGGTTATCTATTTTTTAAGTGGATAATAAGTATCTTATCCATATTTGAACCATTTTTAAGTTCATTATCCAACCCATTTTTTAGTGGATAATATGAATGGATAATTATTATTTTTATCCATTTTGCCATTACTAATGCGAACCAAACGACAGGGATGTATGATTCATGGTTTGTACTAATGGTGAATAAGAATGAGAATACCAGATATTGACTAATAAAATAATATGGCATAGTTGAACCAGGTCTGCTAACGAGGTAAGATAGATATGTTAAGAATAACCTGTACTCCTACTCAAAGAACAACTTGAATGTACTTGTACGTTTATTGTTACCCTTAAATTAATCTATGTAGAATAAACATATTTTAAAGAGCAAGGTAAATCAATCGATTTATATATGTAGAATAAACAAATTCTAAAGAGTAACAATCTCATTACAAAGAAATCTATATAAGGGAGTTCAGTGTATTACCGTAAGCCACAAGGAAGTTAAATGTTACAGAGTTAAACTGAAGCGAGATCTCTGAAAATTTGCCAAACCTTTAACTACTTAACCTCTCCAACCATAATACGCTACTCTTAACCAATGCACTAAGGGGGTGGGGGAAGTTCCATAGAATGCAAGCAGTTAAATTACTTTTAGTAACACTTTCAGAAACAAGTATAGCACAACATGAGATTAAATTAGGGTACAAGACTGACTAAAACCTACCATAAGTATTTTGAGGAACTTAGTATCTAGCATCAATAATGGTAGGAACCTTGTGCAGTCATGTTCTGGTATGACGGCTGCTGCTGATACTGCTGCTGCGGCTGCGGCTGCGGCTGCTGCTGTGAGTTCATGCTCTGATATGGAGCTTGATGAGGATTATAGTTTTGGTAAGGCAATTGGGAAGGACTACCACTAGGATAGCCACTTTTAGCTGTGTAACTTTGATATGCACTTTGTTGAGCAGGATAACTCTGGTGGTAAGCGCCTTGCTGAATATTGCTGCTCTGTCCAGCAGGAGACCCATATCCTTGAAAAGTAGGGCGCCCCGCATTCAAATTCTCTGAAGACCCAGGAAAAACATTGTGCCCAGCATTCATATAATCCGAAGTCCCCCGAATATCATCAATAAATCCAGGATTGATAGAACGAGGATCCTGAAATCTTGCCCTACTTCCAGCAACCTGTGATTTATACCAAGGATAATTAGCAGTAAGAACCATATGAAGTAGAAATAAACAGTCAAGTCGTGAAAGCAACATCTCCTCAATAAACAATCCACTTCCATCTATGTGGATAAATCGGTATGAATAATAACTAGTGGCTTTAAGTTCTTGTGTCTTTTTATACTGCAGTTAATTCTCTTTCAATAATTTAACAAGTAATCCACTTTATAGCCTTTCTACTGAAAACTTTAATGGAAATGCATAGTAGAATGCAAGATATATTTTGACAAGTAGGAAATAACCAAGTGAAAGGATTCTCTACCTCTAACCTTGATGTTGCCTGTTAGAGTGCTAAGGTAGCAAAGTGGGAAAAAGTCAGTTGACTCCTTGGCAAGGGTTTTAGGAGTGATGGGTAGGGTGGGGTCGGATTGGATTATGAAAACTTCAGTTTGGATTTTCAATTTTCGGATTTTAGAAATTAAGACCAAACCCAAACTACATAAGCTCGGATTCATTAGGTGCTTTAAAGTTCGGTTTCAAATTATTCGGATTGGTTATTTCGGATTTTCAGTTTTGAGCCTATAAGTTGGATTTCTTCCTACAAAAGTGAATGCCCAAATAAAGTATCCTTGCCAAGTGCCTTAATAATTCCACACTCCCACCATAATCATTTGACAACTATAAGTACAAATGCAAACCACCCAAAAGTATTGCCTAGTGGTCAATGAAGTGGGTAGGATCTCATATTCAAATCTCAGCGGACGCAAAAACACTAGGTGATTTCTTTCCATCTATCCAAGCCTTGGTATATAGAGTTACCTGGTACCTGATGTTGGTGGGAGGTAGCAGGTATCCCATGGAATTAGTCGAGGTAAGCGCAAGCTGACCCGGATACTACGGTTCTTAAAAAAAAGTACAAATGCAAACCCTTGATATAAGAAAAAGTATTACAATAAGAAAAGAAAAAAAACAAAGTAATATATCGTTAGGATTTTTAGGCATTAAATGCCCGTTCAACCATGAAACCTTTGAAATATGCCACTGGTCAGCTTGAATTTGTTTACAATAGCAGCAGATGAGTCACTAATAGATACGGAGTGCTCCACTTTTTCGAGTAACACCAAAAAGTATGTGAGACCAACAAAAGTGGTTCACTTTAGCTACTCAACTTCAGAAAGCAGCGAGTGTGGTGAGTACCGTGTAGAAACTAGAAAAGAATAATATACTTGGTTATACTTTGAAACCCTATTCTCCTTTTCGGTGGTTGTCTGATTTAATTTACTATTGGGCTTAGGAATGGACAAATGTCGAATTGGTAGGGCCAAACATAAAGTATGAAGTCAGATATTCGAAAATCCAAACCGTAATTCCAAAACACCAAACCAAAATCTGAAATTATAGAATTAGTGTTTTGCCAAAACTATGCCCTCCCCTAGTGATGGGGCATACCATATCAAAATTGATGCAGGTACAACAGAACTTTATTTACCCACCCACCCA